AGAAATACTAATAACGGTCCTGGGCATTTGAGAACGCATAAGATTTAAATTAGTTTCATTGTCTCTAATTTTCAAAGTAATTTAATCACTTTGGGGTGACAATTCCTTTCAGAGAAGATCACCTGTGAGGGAAGTAGGCCTAATGAAACAGTTTCCACTTTGAAAAGTGATGCATCCACTCCAGTGTAGAAGAGAGCACTCTCAGGGTCCAGTTTCAACAAAATTCCACAGAAATACAAGCGTCCTGTTCACGACTTCTATCTTACTTTTATTACCAAACACGCTAATGACAGAGTACGCCGAACATGCAAATCGTTATCTGGTCGGCGCAGATTCAGATAGGCTATATTTTCTGGCATGTAAACTTCCACGCAGGTGTTACGGCGGGTTCACATTCATTACTCAGAGCTCAGACGGTAAAACCCATGAGACCAAGAGTTGCAAATAACAGAAGACTCTAGCCAAGCGTCCTAAATTGTTTCCTCAAAGGGCACTTATCCGTTTTGTGTTTCTTTGTTTTAACTTTAACAGTGAAATTGTTTCATGTTTTAAGCGTTTCTTTCGTGTAACATTTTGCAAATTCGCGATAAACATGTCTTTGATAATGAAGAAAAATGGCATTTTCTTACCACTATTTTAAAGGGATTTATTGGATTTCTGCGTACTTGTGAAACTCCATAGCACACTGCCGGTCATCTGTCAGTTTCCGATCTTTTTTATGCACACCGCGCAGATGCATGCACCATTATGGATTCCATCTCCCGTTACCCTCCTCACAAATCGCCAAACTGTAATAGCCCGGGGTAAACCATGCAGGAACACTTTCATCAAATTAGATTATTACATACTGAAGGTCAGGTGCATTTTTTCCACACTCAAGGAATCAACAAAACAGGGCCAAACAAATTTAACCGAGGCATTCTGTGTTCTTTTTAGTTTTCCAATTATAGGGGATAAATAGGGAGCTTTACAAACCAACTAACCACGCCAGAAATTTCTCACAATGGCAGCGAGTCGATAAAAAGGCATGAGACAGTAATATATATGACGAGTAACAAAGGAATGAATATTAACTTAAAAGGGGGCGGGTCAGTTTCTACGAAAATGCCGTACGCTCTGTCAAAGTCAATAACTGCACAATTTGAAGGAGTGGATTTTAAAACCTCAAAAGACGGACAAATACGTCCTCGTATAAGGAGAATAAAAAGACAAGCAGCGGCCAGGTGGTGTGTCGATTGCGGTAAAGGATTGCCACAGCGTTAACACGCACTAAAGATGAGCGTCACCAGTTCGATCGCTCAATACGGTTCTACACGTAGTTTGTTACTCGGTTATATCCCGATGGAGGGTTTGTCTTCAAAATAAACCAGTCTCTTTCCTATAATTGAAAGTGATTTGTTACATACGTGTAATGTATCTTTTCCAAACATCTGAAACTTTTCCCATTCGTTGGCGACACCGTAGTTCGGAAAATTAGGTTTTGAAACGGCTAAAATCGCCCACCCTTTAGATTCTTTTATTAGGGGGGCGGGGGAGCTGATGCCTAATTATAGCACTGCTGTAACTACTGTTCAATATCTGGGCATTAAGACTTTGTAACAAATAAATTCAAAGTAAGGAAGATGTTTTGGCATATTCAGTTCAGCTGATGTATGGATATCAAAATATATGTCATGGGGAACAATGAAATTTCCATGCACGTTTACATGTACGTTTCCATGCATGTATTCTCTAACTAGAAGGTAACGAAATTTACCTAAAAACAATAAGACTAGTACCACATAAACTCAACGAATTAGAAAACTGTGTGGCGTGGGTTGTTTACAAAGCCACTTTCGGTACAAAATCCTCCAATTTTATCTGTATCAACACCATTCATACCATACCCAAGAGATAATTCCAATGGGGATCAGGTGCTTGTTTATTGTACGCCTTAATTGCTTAGGGCTTGCCGGGCGTTACATTATACATAATCAGTAACGAAATTTCTCCTATTCAACATGGGATAATTCTATTTGTTATGTCCTGAAGCGAAGTATATATTTCCCTTGTTCAGTGTGCTTTCCAAACGGACAAACGACCGGCAATGGCTTTGAATCGGCGACCTGTTGTTATTATACTGCTCTCGTTGTGCCAGAAATGATGGCAGTTCCTTACATTGAACATATATTTAGGAACGTATCTTTGCGGATGTCCTGACCTGCTGATTCACCTAGCTTCCATGAGGCTTTAGAAAGCACAGATCTTTCTTTCTGCTTAAAATGGTGCAGTGTCTTGCCGCATATAATCAACTCCCCGGTGAATTTTCTTTTTTTTTTCTTTTTTTTTTTGAATGGCCGTGAATAATGCTCTTAAGAAATGTATCAATAGCCAACCAAGCGCGTCGCACGCAGCTATGAATAGCCAAGAATAGCAAAGAAGGGGTTTTACGAGGATAGATTTTTCCACCCTTTTTGTTCTCTTTTCTGATGAAAGCAACACATGGCTTTTCAGAGTTACTCGTGTGCACTGTCCGCCTTCAAATTGAAAATAATTCGAATCATTCACACAAAGCGGTGAGTGCAGAGTGGCTGTGAATGGATATCGATGGGGGCTTTGGAGGAGTTATCCCGGCACGTTGAGCGACAGAATGGAGCGAGACTGGCCAGCCATCCACTACAATTCACTTTCCACTAAATATCTATTCAAGGCTCTCCCAGGAGTGGTAACTGGACAATTGTATGAATAGAGGGTGGACAATAGGTCCATGTACGGATTAGAACCACTGAATTGCAATTAGCATTTGTAAAGACACACCATGTTTCCTTTTTGCTTAGCTGGTGTAGCACTGGCAAGTGGTGGTGGACCTAGATGCCTATGGAATTATTTCATCTTTTCCCTCGTCAGGTGATTTTTTGTTATTAGAAATGCTGGGGTTTTCTTTCTTTCTTTCATTTTTTGCATGTCCCTAAAATATAACTATTAATACTTAAGAAGACAGCTTTTGTTTACTTTTCATTGCATCAGATGTATGCGCCAGAAAAGAAATAAAATTTAGAAAAAGCAAAATAATGACAATCGGGACACATCGCTAGAAGATTCATTTCTGTTTAAGGGTAGTTGCGAACATTCCATACACCTATGCTTTCTATGCACCTACAAAATACTTAAGTCTGAATCACCCTTCATCTTTTTCACTCTGGGACGGAAGAAAATTCCTGAAAGGGCAAAACTGTACTGACTTGTGGTTTTAGCCCTCTCAAACCCCTACCTTTTCTGGATAGCCTTGGAACTTGTTTTCGACGAACCTTGCAGGGAGATCTGTCCGATCATTCGGCTTTTGTTATTTGTATAATGTGGCGTTTTGAGAACAGACTGTGGAATGCAACAGCAGCTTAACACTAACAGAAGCTGTTTCGTTAAACGACTTCAGTGAATACGCTTTCTTTGCATCACTTTTAAGAGTACGTTTTTGAAAAAAGCCTCATAATCCACCCTTGTGTGTTTAAATTTAAAAAAACCGGATTTTTAACTTTGGAATTTTAAAATTTTGATCATTGTCGCACCTGTAGAGCACATCTAATTTCGTTTCATGAACAACATCGCCATGCATTTTTGGATGTAAAATAATTTAACCGAGGAACCTTTCCACACTATAATATATACTTTTTTTGTGAACAGTGAAGAAATCTTGGAATGATCAAACCCACACGTGAAGCTCAGCTATGAGTGTAGGACGGCCCGAGGTTTGTTCACGAATCCGTCACCGTTGTGGGTCCGCCGGTAACAGAAAACCCGGTCAGACGCCGAAGATCGTTTTCATGTGTACCTTGTAAGTTGTATTCCATGTGAACGTGTAATTATCTATACACACATACACCAGTGTTCTTATTCTTCAACCCCATTGCATGTAATTGTTTCTTGAAGTTAAACTGGACATGAAGCAGAGTAGAAACCGTGCTTTAAATTGCAGCATTTGTCTTGAGATTAGAAACAAAGCAAAGCTGAGTCAAGAAAGAAAACAAATTGTAAAATTTTGCTGTGATGTGGAATTCAATACAAAAAAAATATTATGCATGCTAGTCAAATATTTGCGTGTCGATTTTTCAGCGATTCAAATCACATAGGTATGCGTAAATATTTTTTTTCAAGATCCGACTTTGTCTCATGACGAGTGGCCAATTAAAGACTGAACTTGCTCAGCATGATAGATGTTAATTCGACCGGAGACCAAAAACATTTTTGTAGAAGTGCATGGTAATTTATTAAAAGACAGATCTCCATCAAGTCACTCGTAATGTCGACAGTTTGGAATCAGAAAACGCGCCAACGCCATTGAAATTCAGTAAATGGGCTCTTCAGCTATCAATCAGTCCTTTCATTTCCTTCATAATAGCCCGACGCATCACGTTTTTGTTTAGCTCTTTTTTTCGTGCCATACCATGCCCCCGTGTCAGTGGCATTCAAAACTTCTGCATCTCGAAAGAGAAACATTTAATTGATTTGTGTGGCCCTTCTTGGAGGTCAAACATGGTGTTTCAACGAGGTCAAACGAGTGTTAAAGCTAGGTAAATGCATGTATAATTGTCCTGAAATCAGAAGTGTGGTGCTATTTTCATGCTTTTTTTCGACACGCTCACGCTTGTGGCATTTCCAGCGTTCTTTCCTCGACTGTCCTTTCCTTCCTTACAATCGATGGCGAGCTGGGTATTTTGGTAGCGTGTTTAGCTTCCGCCCTATTGACAACGCAGCCAGTTCTCTTCGCAAATCCGGCAGGGATTTCCATTGTTGGTTCTGCAAACTTCAATAGCTAGCCCATTCATGGTATCACAATGGCCACACCTAACTATTCACGCCGGTCTATTCACAGCGGTTTAGTCTTGTTTACTCCCGCCAAGGCCGGCCCATTCACCGCTGAATACATCCTTCAGGCAATCATTATCATGCATATTACCAAGCATTAACCCTCTTTTGTCCGCATGCCTTAAACCCCTTTCGGATAAAAATTGCATCTTGCAATCTGCTTTTCATCTATTTATTTATGTCATAAGTGCCTTTTCAATCCCTATGTGGTTTTTCTTCGACTGTGATGTGCACCTTCGTTGTTATTTTTTTCTTATATGATCAATCATGGTTCACGGGATAGCAAGACCCTTGCTGTACCCCTATAAATGTTGGATACAGATGACTTGACCATTCACAGATCTGCACTACTGCTGGCCCCTTTTTGTTATGAAAGAATAGTCGCTGAACACAAAGGGCAGCATGGAACAGGAAAACAAGTTTTTAAGCTTTTCCTTTCTCTTGAACCAAAACTATGGCATGCAGTTTAAGCCTGATGTGTTTAGAGGAAAAAAGCAATCCTTTTCTACGTGGGACAATCCAATAGAACTGGACAGTGTAACTTTATGTACTTATTCAACAGGCTCTTCTTTCCCACGATAGTGTAAAACTTGTAAAAAAAATACAGGGTCTGGCATTTCTACTCAGCAAAATGTTTCTGACACTCAACAATTCTACCCTCAGGAACATATTTAGTTAAATTTCAATTCTGAATACAGGTTGCTGCTGGGGTATAAAAAACAACTTTCCCCCCAGCACCATGTTGAAGAAAACCATTTTGATAACACTTGGGGAACAGCGCGTGTAACGCGCATCTCATAATGATTCTCTCTTTACAAACATGGTGGTCACAGCAAATGCAAGATAACTTGCCTTAGCAATATTGAGACATACTGCTACAAGTATTAGGAAAATCAAGCACAAATAATACATTCAATATCAGAGTTTTAGCTCGTCAAATTGATGTTTTATACAAGCTACATGTACATCTTTTCAGTACAGAAACAGACCCTACTCATTTTTAATTGCTGTTTGGAAATATTTGAATGGAGAAGTTTGAATCTTAATATGCTAAAATAATTGAATTGTTTTTCTCAAATATTAGACGCCTAATAACTGCAACTTCACGACAGATCCCAACAAATATTAACGACGGATACATCAAATACAAACAGTAAATTACAAACAGTAACGTTGTCCTCTTATGTTGATTTTTTTATAATCCTCTTCATTCTCCCTGCAATTATCAAACACAAATGACTTAACGAGTGAAGAATCACGGGACGATACCAATGGATAAAATAGCTCAATATAAACGTTGTTTGAAAAGTTGGATTAAACAGTACTCTGGAAAAGAGAAACATGGTAGTTTCGCCATGAAGTATCTCTTACAGAAAAAAAAATTCATGCTGATGACAATTGCTTTTAAATGTCAGGGCTCAAGTTTTACACCTCGGTGTATCAATGAAGTTTATGTCATCAGTACAAATATATACAAAAGAAGCGAGAAATCCAAAGAAATTTATTTCCAAAAACCAGGGATGCCTGTGAGTGTCAGTGCAGAGCAATGAGATCACGACTCAAGAGGATGAAACGCTGTTGGCTGTTTAGACATTTCATTAACTAAAACATCTTGGCAGTGAATGTCGGGTGTAGAAAACCAAGCTAGGCAAAACTGAAATAAATGGGTTTTGATAGGTACTGGTACCGTTTTGCTTCAAAATGGTTTGAAGACGTCAGAAGTACAGCAAAATAATCACATCAATGAAGTGAGTGGAAGATATCTTCTCTTCTTTGTTGAACATATTAATTAAAATAAATGAATTCAACATTTCAATGAATACTTCTTCCTGTATTGGTAAGATATGACCATGTAACTGTTGATAGATCGATTTAAAAAGTGCATTTTTTTAAGTAAAAGTGAAAAACCCAAAGCTTGATTAATAACAAAACAAATTCTCACTGCATCGAGTAACTTTATATTTAAAAAGTACACATCAAGAGCAGTACCTACTTCCATACTGTTATTTTAACAATGCAGTTTTTTTGCGACACTAGGTCTATGTAAAAACCTTTATGGTTCACTTTTGAAATACGTATCTTTTCCAAAGATGCCCAGAATACCATACAGTTTGACTTCACTGGCGGTGAATTAAGTTAAATCCCATTTTCAAATAGCTACGGTGGTTAGTTTACATTACCAATATAATTTTGTTTCATCAATGATGTGTTGATCAGAGTCAAACTCTCTTATCACTTATATTTGAGCATTCTTTACTTTGAAAATGGTGTTATGTATGGCACCACATACAGTGATGCACCAATGTCCTATGATAATCCTATTTCTGATCTTGGTTCTGAAAATGCACAAGTTTAATATTTTTCTGAACTCAGATGTATGCAATATATTTCAGTGCTTAAATTCTTATTTCAGAGTGTGTACTTTTTCGAAAATCTGCAGTGAAGATTAAATAAGAAATATACTGCATACACAACAGTTCTGAAACATCAATTTTAGCGTAGTTTTTCCTGAATGCTAAGGATTTACATAATGTACACAGAATAATTGCTTTCTTATGGGCAATATCGTCAACACTGGTACCTTAAATAGTTTAGTACTTCTGTTCCACACTGGTAAGTTAAAACTTGATTCATCACAACAATTATGTCAAAATTGATTGCAATAACGTTGAAAGAGCTCATAAAAAAGCTCTTTGGTTAAAATAGGTGTTCAAATACTTCTGCTGAAAATCACAAACATAATATGATAAGAATAGAACATTTCGGAGATACATGGTATAGATCAAATTATTTACAAACATCTTTTTAGTCTCTAGTTCGTCAACTTGGTTCACCGATGCACGAAACAAATTCAAAATAGTTTTCTAACAGAGTTTAACATTACGTAGTCAGGTAGTACATCATTTAAGTACAGTGTTATCACTAGCTCGCAATGCCAGTTCGTCGATTATTCTTTTTTACTGCCCACAGTCAGTAAGCGTCGAAAAGTTATTCAATGTACAAAACTAAAAAGGTTCGACTAAACCGCGCCTTATATTGCAGCAGTGTGTCTCGTAGGTACGGGCACGGTGGGCCGAATTGCAGGGTGAGCAGGCCCGTATGGTTCCATGTCAGGTTTGACGAGAATGTAGGCGACTGGTCGTTGAATATCAGGACTACCGGGCCATCCGTACGGCATCATGTACTGCGACTGACTATGTACACCGTGTGCGTGTGGCGGGATCGGGCTGGAGGCACCAGGGGGGAGCTTCCCGAATGCACTACTCGGCAGCGTAGGTGGGTACATGTAGGGCGACAGATGCGACGGGTACAGTGCACCGGCCGCCGCTGCCATCTCGGCCGCTCGCATGGACGGAGATGAATCAAGCTTGACACCGTTATGGTGGTCGAGGATCTGGTAGGGATGGGTCGACAAACTGGACGGCAGGTACGACCGCATTTTTTCTGCCGAGATGTGATCGCTGACGGATGTGGTAACAGGTCCGTATGAACTTGTACTTGGCACGCAGGGGATTGGGAATGCATACCGGTCTTTCTTCATCATGTTTTTCGGCTTTCTTCGAGGCCGGTACTTGTAGTCGGGGTGCTCCTTCATATGAAGAGCTCTCAGACGCTTAGCCTCGTCAATGAATGGTCGTTTTTCCTCCTCTGAAAGTAACTTCCAGTCTCCGCCAAGTCGTTTACTGATTTCGGAGTTGTGCATCTTGGGATTCTCCTGAGCCATCTTACGGCGCTGGCCTCGGGACCACACCATGAAGGCGTTCATGGGCCGCTTGACATGCTCGTTGGCTTTGGCTAAACCATCCATGGCCACCCGCAGAAACAGTTAATGTGGATGACGATTGAAGAATAGAACTGAATGTGATCACTTACAATTTCGTTTTTAATGAAAGAAGTTACTTTCAAAGACTCTCTATTAAACTGAATATTTCGGAGCTTGCTTCCCCCGCGTCCAACTCCTCTGGTGTCTTTCACAAATGCTGCGGTTAAATCCGTCATGCAACCACTAGACATGCTGTAGAGCTATTACCATATCAGCGACGTACACACTATTCCCGTTGACACGACTGAGCGGTGAAGTTCAAAAGAACCAAGAGCTTTTTTACGTGACACTGGTGACAAGGTTGGTAGTTACTGCAGAATGTATGAATTAATCATATCCTTTGACCAATCGCTTTCTCTGTTAAAGAGAAGCTATCCCAATCGTTTATTCCAATGTCTCTGATTGGGTGATGCAGGATATGTTTGTAATTTTTGCATAAATGTATAAATTTTTCTTTGACTCCGCCCACCTGTTGAAATACTTTATTTCTATTGGTCAATCTATCTACACTTCTAATGATGGCGGAGGAGCGGGTCGCAAGCGGCGCGGATGCCGAGGCAAGTCGTAGTTGACTCCACTTTTCAAAATTATTTCCGAAAGGTTAGCTATCTGTTGTTAATAGAAGTGTCATTAGAGTTTTTACATGGCATATTGTCCATTTATATCTCCGATGTTCACTGCGGTAAAATAGGAACCTGACTTTTTTGGTCTTAAATTATGTTTTCATGTTCACATCGATGACAGACATGTAGGCCTACATGTACAGTATACACTGTACATGTACATGTACAGTGTATGTACATGTACATGTATGTACATGTACATGTACTGTACGTGTACAGTGATGCCTATTCGAGTTTTGCCTTGACCAGTTGCGGTATAGCCCCAACTTGTCCGTTTGCTTGTTTAACAGTTGAAAGAGTGATTTTGTACAATAGTATATCAATAAAAACAGTCAAATTTCCCATGTGTGTCTGTGTACTGGGGGAAATCAAGTTGAAAGAATTTTTGACTGTTCTTGACGGGCACAGCAAAAGGAGGGTTAAGGCATCGATTCGATTAAGGCTATTAAATAGGGCCTACCTAGCCTAGGCCTGTGTTTTTTTTTACCCCAGAATCAACTCCATTGTCATGATAATGTTAGGGTGGGAAACATGGAGAACTATGGTCATGATAGTTGGGAATAGGACCTTGAGCATTCTGTGTATGTCCCGATGGGGAGGATATTTAGGCCTAGTATACTGTGTTACATGTTAGTAATCAACTTACAAGTTACAAGGGCCTAGTGCTGGCGTGACTTCGTCCTGTTGAAAACATTGCATCCTGAGGCTACCCCCCCCCCGAACCGTAGGGTCTGTCATCTGCCGCGCTCCTAGAAACAACGATGGACCCTACCCCCAGAACAGTTCTGCTGGGGGAGCAGAGCGCGTGTCGGACCCCACAGTTCTGGGGGTAATTTAATATTGATGTGAGCTCAACATGGATACATATCACATGTTTAAACTGTGTGTTTTACAAGTATTTTTTAGTATTCCCTATAATGAATATTTTTTACCTTGTCAGGCCTCTTCAGGGTTGCCCCCTTTTTTCGTCTGAGTCCTAGGTCTCAACCTGCCTCTTCTTTTTTTTGTTCCTTTTCCCGTTGGTACAATATTTTTGTCATTTGCTTTGGAATTTGTCCATAGTCGATGTCTTTTGCTGTTTGCCTCTGCCTTTTAATTTTGATTGATGTCAATCTTTCCATCCATGTCTTATTGTGTCCCAGATGTGAATTACAGCGTTTCAAACACTCCCTGTAATACATACAACCCCGCAGATGGGGGACTCTACTTAACTGGTAGAAATATGGAGCAAGAGAGGTTTATGTAAATATTGAGAAAAGAAATTAATCTAAGACTGAAAACATTTCCATGTTTTTTACTTTTTATGTGCTCAGGAGTCAGGACCAAGGGTGAGATTGATAGTGTGAAAGTTTACTGAGCATGGTTGAGTTTTCTGTGGGACGTGCATCAGAGGGTAGAGAAATTTGATGTCCAAGGAATTGCAACAATCCAGCTGTAAATACATCATAAATAATACTGTACCAAATGTAAAAATCAAATAAAAACATCAGCTAGTTTACCTGAATTTTTATGACATGAAAATCCACACGAGGTTTTATTCCTTTTGTTTCTAATGTATTGGATAAGTAATACTAGAATACTTTCAGTGTGCATCAATAATTAACTACAAACGTCGCAGTACATGGAGTTACATGTACAGAAATGCAAGCACGGTGATATTATTTTTCTGGTGCCGGAAGTAGGAAATGCATGCTTGCGCTTCCACAGAAATGTATCTGTTTGACCAATGCAATCAGGCTTTGGCCTCCAGCTTTTTTAACTAGCCCGCCAGGTAAGTTAACCTGTTTGTTACTTTTCCACAGGAATGTTCACTAGCCCACTGGACGCTTTTAGCAAAGCTAATTTCAACTAGCTTTTTTCTTACATGTACTTCATTATTTCAATCATTACTGTGGAGTCTTGCTGTCAGTTTCAAAATGTAATGAAGTGGAGGATTAAAACATTTTACAATTACTAACACATGCAGTTACTGTAACTCTTTGTTTTACTCATCCTTACAATATGACAAATGACAGTTTCAGAGAGGTTTTTTTACTGGCCCACAGGGCAAGTTCAATGATCCATTTGACTAGCCTGTAGCAGTGTTTACTAAGGATGGGAATTTACATTTTATTTGAAAAGCATTTAGAATCTTTCTTTAACGCTTGGCTACATGTAAAGTCACGTTCCCGTTGGACTTTTTTTGGTTAACTTACTGCGACTTTCCTGTAGAATTATAAAATTAAATCCAATGGGAACACACAGTAAACTACCATCCCTGTCAACCCTTACTACGATCGCGATGTAAAACTAATGGGTTGAAAAGGGTCGTGGAAGATTTCTGCACAGCCAGAGTAAGTTAGCAGGGGCTTAATGAAGTCCAATGGGAACTGTTCCCATACAATATAGATTGACCTCGACCACGTTAAACCTATGAACCAGACAGACTACTGCCTACACAGAGATCGATAGTGGGCATGTGGTTGTGTGGTTCCCAGTCTCCAGTTCCATGCGTACAGTACAGCAGCATGCAGTGCTCACACAGTGAAGCGTGCCTGGATAAAGCTATACACACATTATGTATGGAGCTTTTCTGTACAAGTTAATCTTATTTGTGGCAGATTTAGCCGAATTCGTCTGATTTTGTCATTTATTTGGTAAGATTTTACTGATTTCGTCATGGTTTGTACAGCGCATGCAGTGTAATCAGCTGGTCTTATTAGGCCAAACACAGCAAATAAATATTCCATTACGGTTAAAAAAAGTCCACCTGGGAATGCGTGGCAGGTTGACACGAAGGAACATCATGGTAAGTTTCTGTGTGCCTATGGAAAAAAAAGGCTGCCGCCGTCTACCTTAGTGCATAATTACATATACATGTAGTTCAACAATGCACATGGTCCAACCGGTGTAAAAATGTAGATTGATGTTTGGGCATTTAAAACAAGCAACAACACAATGTAAATAGACACATTTCTAGTGATGAATTCATGGTATACCTCTGATGTGACCAAGCAGTGAAGTGTTCCAAAAATCAGGTTTCATGTACGTTTTACAGACATCGTTTACAATAAAAATGAATGTCAAATTGCGTCAATCAAAATCCAAACCTCTAAAAGGGGTGCTTCTGTTTAAACGTTTGGGAAAATCTGTTAATGGATTTGGTACTTTTTCGTTTAAATGTGTAAACGTCCCACCCTTAGTGCTTACTAAAATTTGTATGTCAGTCTGTTGCTGAGGTCAAGACCTGTGCAATGTAACAAAACATATTTTAACAGTGGAACCTGTGAATTTAAATCACTAAAATAATATACAGATGCTTTACACATGCTCAGCCTCTGTGCTCATTCAGAATATTGTCAGTTTTATGATATTGTGTTAATTGGCCTGTAGCATGCATGATGATCAAAGCATGTGATGAAAAATTAGGCCGGAAATCAACGTGCATGTACTGTACATTCAAGGATTTATTGAGGCAAGTTATTTAGCATTTTGTTTTTTTATTGCTTCTAGTAATAATAGGAATGTTGCAATGAAGAGCTCGGTATTTGTTCAGCATGCTACAGCCTCTTGGAGAAAGGTGGTTTGAACTGGTCTAAAAGTTGTCTGCTAATCAGCTTGATGAGGCCACTCTGACTTTGAAAACTGAGATGAGAAAGTGGGTGCAAATCCCTAGGATGAACTTGCTGTTAAAAGTGAGATACATTGTACATTCAAACAAGCTGTGCACAGAACAAGTTGGGAAAACATTTGGTTACACTTGGGAATGAATAACAAATCAAAAGTCCCTTGGGGGCCAGACAACCCGGGTGAGTTCACCCTGGGAATGGATGCTCTTGTGTGAAAATGCCTTATGAGAAATGAGCTTAAAGAAAAGACAGAAAATGTTCAGGTTGGGATGGGTATTGCGCTGGGAGATTGGATGGGGAATTTGAGCAAGCTGGTAGGGAGTGGTGTTCTATTTATTGAATGTTAAAATTGTATTCTAAGACTACTTTGCAATAACCTTGGAAAACCTCGGTTTCAGTAAATGAAAAAAAAACCTTGGGCATGGGACAAATCTTGTTATAAATACATATCTTGTTCTGGGGTGTGTCTTCATTTAGTCCATTTGATCTGCGCATAAATTAGAACATACTTCCCGTAAAATAAATCTCCCCTCACGTTATAGTTAGCTACTTAAGTGTAACTTGTACTTGTAGTAGTTATTTTTAATGTAGGGATTAACAGTGGCAGAGTTACCCAGTAGAGGAGCTTTTGGAGCAAACTACATGTATGCCACCTCTTGCCCTTTTGTCCATCCACCATATCCCACCATAAAACCCATGCTGAGCATGACGGTCACTTTGATCACAGTGCATCACTGTCAAGTTTGCGGCAAAACCTGTTGTACATGTAGCTGGATTTTGAAAGTCTGTACACTGTAACTTAAGTTTCATTATTGAATCTCAAGATTTGGTTGTAACAACCTGTGCCGCGTTGTGCCACCAAGACATTTAGGGACGGGAAAACTACACAGAATTGCACTTTGAGCAGTAGGCCAGCAGGTATAAGTTTGAATGGAGGTGGTTAGGACTATTGGGGTTGTGTTTTGTTTTTGGGGTTGTGTTTTCTTAAGCCTGTTTTGATCATGTAAGCTTTTCTTTTTCGTATTTGTCGGATTGTAGTCACTACCTTTTGTAAATTCCATTCACATATCGGTACACGAAGGGCAGCCCATTTCTAGTGCTGCAAGTAGTTGCCAAGGTTCAGTTTGGGTTCGGTTCGAATACGGTTCAGAAATTTTTTGCCGAACTGCAGTTCGTTTCGGGTTCGGATACGTACACACATGTACATATATGTACAATGCACATTGAGACATTGAAGAGCATGCCAAGAAGATCTTGGCCCAAGATCGTGCCTTATAGTACTTCTCTGTGTAAAATACATGTACGTTAATATAAGCAATGAATCTTTTCTTTATCCCCATCCACGAGCAACTTTGATGTGAACATAATTTTTTTCTAAACTACTTCCCCAAAGTTTGTTTAGGAGTTAAAATTCCATAGAAAGTTACCATTGGAGGTGTGACAGTTCCAACCATGTTTTATTGACCAAAAGTGCCTTGTGTTTGAACCATGCTTGACTTAACAAAATGATCGGAGGATATGCGATAATAGAAAAACAGCATGCTCAAATCTGACCTTCCTCCTTTACAGGATACAAGACCAATTTAGATTTCAAGCGATTTGTGTTTTGGTTATTTTTCACGAAACAGATTTAACTGCCAAACCATGGCTTTCAATGTATTTGAAGAAGAACCTTGGTATCACGTCAGCATTCTTTCCCAGGATGGCGCCCACATGGCCCATGGGGCAATTTTCCATCAGTATTTTTCGAACGGATAACGACATTTTGTTATTCGAGATTTGCGAACAACTTAGAGATCCGGCAAAGTTCCATTACAAGGCATTCACACTACGACTTCGATCAAACATGATCAACGAAAGGCAATTTGGGCCACCATGCGAACCACATCTTGTCACGCACTAGAGCGCTGCCCCGGCCTGGCAAAATCCTTCCGGAGTTGCGTTTGATCGAGCACAAGTCTGACTGTGATCAGCATCCAATCAAAATTCATTTTGCCTGGCCATAAATGACATCATTGGTCTTATATGGAACGTGAGGGTGTGGCTATTGGAGATTGGCAAACATATTGCTAAATCTGATACATAAGCACAATTGGATGTAGTGAAAATTTAGAATTGTTGTACAGCAGAAATGCCGTATGTTGTATGTTCTCAGTTGATTATTAGTGAATTCTCACCACATACTTTTTACGTCCATCGTGTGATGCGGGGGCTATTGTAAGTTTGCTGTACATACACATGTACATGTGCAGTACCTTTATGGTACGTGTGTACACGCACATGCATGTCCTGAGTGAGTGCCGGTACAGCACAACTCGTTATCCATTATTTGTTGTGTTTGCTTTTTTATCACGTTTTCTTACGTGTGTTCTGTGCCCCATCAATGCAGTTCGGTTCGAAAGTACCATGTTCAACAATTTTTGGTGAGGTTCCACTGTAGCACTCCCCATTTCAAATAATGATGCAAAAAGGAGATTCTATTGTTTTTTCTTGAAGGTGGATGTTTAGAACTTCAACACCCAAAAAGGCTGTATTGATTTTTTTGAAAGTTTCATTCATGCTTTCTTGTTGTTTCGCACACTTTCCAATTTTATGTATGTTTGTTTGATTAAATTATTTAATCTTTTCCTGTATTCTTGAAATCCAAGGGTGGAATATTGTGAGTGGATGTAGCACTATGTGAACACAGTGCTTTGATCATGCCTGCATTAAATGTATCTTAAGATCTAGTTTAATAAACCTTAGTAGCCCTGCAACTTCCCCTACAGTGTAGTTTTGGCTTTCCATTGCAACATCAATGCCATGCCAGATGGCACATTCTAAAGCCTAATTTATGAAATGTTGGGGCTCTCCAGGATCTGCCACTGGACATGTCCTACAGGTACATGTACCTCCACATTAATTTCAAACTTGTATTTTATTACCAAGTTGCATTCCTATCTAACAAAAAGTCTTTTTTACAAGTTAGTCAACTCTTGAATTTTTGATTTTTTCCCCTGCCTGACATGTATTATAACACTGTATATTCAGTGTTTGCCCCTGAAGGCTTGTTATAAAATCCACAAGCATACTTGGGTGGGACTCGAATGCACAACCTCCTGCTTACCAGTGCAGACATCTCAACCATTCGACCACCGAGTACGCTAGTGGCTTTTTTCACAAGCCTTGGGGGCAAACACTGAATATACAGTGTTATAATACAGTCGGGCAGGGCAAAAAAAAAATAAAAAATTAAAATTCATTAACATCTCCCCAGTGCAAATCCATCCTTGCAATACTCTTGTTATAATAAAGTTACAGGGACCAGACAAGTTACTTTGTTAGATAAACCAAGACTTTGTTGTAGATTTGTAAATTGAGTGAACAAACAAAGAAAACACATGAATTCATGAAATTGGAATACCAAAATAAGCCCTTTATATCAGCATTTTTATAATGAGAGTCAACTGTACTGGTACACGCAGTAGCATACTGTACAGAACAGTAGGCTGGCAGGCTTATGCTTAGCTCATAATGGGATGACAGTCGGAATGACACTGCTTTATGGATGGAGTCCTGGATGAAATCTCTCACTTTCTGCCCCTTTTAAAGACAGTCTTCCTTTTGCATGAATTGGAAAGAAAAGGGGATCCTTTTGCCTGTGGCAGGATTAAAAGATTTTATCCACTGTTGACTGTTAACTTAAAGCATACAGGTAGTGCAATTGAGCAATTGCTCAGATCCCTCTAGTGCATAGTATCTCTGTAAATATCAACAGATTTGGTGCAAAAAATGTTGGGATTTGAATTGATAAGGGAAGTGATTGAGTATTAAATTGTGCTTTTGAGCATCTCCAAAGTTCAACTGGTATAGAGAACCCAAGTGCATATGTCGTACACACAGTTATGTGTGTAAAAGGCATTAGTGCAAGAACCAGTGTGTGAACAGTGCACATGTGTACTTCGTTTACACAACACTTTCTGGTTCATATGATGTCATGCTTCGGCACTGTAAACTGGCAGAACTTCAAGAACGTCACATCTTCAAGTGTAAATAAAAAGAGAAGACTACTCAGATTGCAAAGGTGATATCTGAATAATGAGAGATTTTGCCAAAAAATTCTGAGCAAATGGATCAGTCCTGAATGTTACCACTACCTACCTTAAAATTACTGGGCGGGGTAGGGTGGGGCTAGGAAAAAAGACTGGGCCTGTAGTGCAAAACTGTACTCACTCAACAGTTGGCAAGGTCTCAAAAATTTTAATGATGCAAAGACAAGGTCCTTACTGTTTCACCTGCCAAAGTTGAGGTCTTAAACTTGAAAACAGCGTACCAGATATTTCTGTTGACACCATCAGTTGGTGTAATACTAAATGGTTTTGAACATTTTTTTCATACACTTGACTACATGTATTTCTGGGATTACATTTGTCTCTGTAGATCTTATTTGTATTTACATTGTATTTTGAGAGCCTCTCATATCCTACAGTGTTGCAGGTCCAAATTTGTGAACTTGTCGGAGATAAGTCCTGTGAACATTAAGGCCAAGTTTTGTAAAAGGTCTCATCAGTGACTAATGCTAAATTAAAATAGGCCCAGTGAAAAGGGGAATTATTTGGAAAAACTGTAAGAAAGCAGAAGACCAGACCATTAGATTTGTATACATGTACTGGTACTGGTAAGTAAAGCTCAAGATAAGTTTCTTAGTGCTTTTGTGTATAGCACTGCCAATGGACCTACCAGTGACAGTAGTGACATCAAGTGGTGACAACATCAAGCATCTCCTTATCTATTCAGGCTTCATTTTGTGGAAATTTTGAGCAATTTTGATTGGGCGTTAAAAAATTAAATGTGTGGATGTTTTAATAGAATCCTGTGTGGCATTCCCACCTACATGTAAATATGTTGATTTTGAAATAACATATTCACCAAAAAATGGTTAATACCGATGAAGCAGATTATGTGAGCCTGTGTATGCGAGGAAATCAATCAGCTGCCTCTGTATGTGTAGATTGTGAGTACGTCAGTGCTTGACTTACATTTACAGTGTGTATTTGGGCCTTACTGATTGTTGCCAACATCTGCCCTTGTTGAACTTTTTCAATGTCATCCATTACCCTTGTTGAAAAGGTGTTCCAGTGTCACTATGAAAGAATGTGATAGATTACCAAGTTACTAATTAAGGCAATCAGTTGTTCTTGATAGATAAGAATTAATTTTCCCTAGTCACTGAATATTTGTTTTTAAGTTAATATTTCAGTTTGTGGAGATAGCGTCTTTTTTTCCATGTACTATTATTATATTTTTAAATTGTTTTATCTGGAATTTGAACATACTTGCTTTATTAAAAGACTGATATACATGTATGTAGTTATGGTGTTCATGGCAAATTAAAGTCTTTTGTATTTCAATTGGAAGACTACAACATTTTCATAATTTTGTATTAATCCTATGGTTTTGCAACTCTGGTTCTGCTTACTTATGATGACAACAGGGATCATCAGAAATTGAAAAATGATTCGTGGGAACACTGGGGTCTAGACAAACTACGAAATACATCGTGATCACTGTTTTTGTGTCAAATTGTTTCTTATATCAAATCAATAACAATTCTTACTATGTAGCTGTCCGACACAAACCAGTACCTCAGCCATGTGTTAATATTCCCAAAACTCCTACTCCACTTGCCTGTTGTAAATGAAGCCACTGTTAGCTGTCGTACATAATAACATTTACACGTATAAACTTGTTTTTATTAAGTAACCTGCCCATCCATATTAATTTGTCTTCACTTACTGATTCTTGAAGTTCCTTTGTAGAATTCATAGCAATGCATACTTTAGACAAAGTGTAAAATCAATTGTGTGTGTATTAAAACTAGCACTTGGACATCAAGCATGCACCAAATAATGATATTTATATTCAGGGACATCAGTCGTCACAGAAAATCAATTTAAAACTGTTAATAGCGTGAAACGAACACTTAGAATCCACCGGAATAGTAGTTGAATATGTTTACGCACAGTGTAACAGCTACTGCAATAATGCATCTTCTGTTGTAATTGCTTTTATTTCATTAGTTAGGACAGTTTTTGTGTCTGGGACAAAAAGCATGTCTTTGGCACAATGGGACAAATTGAATAGACTTGTTCACCAGCAGCAGCTGGAGTCAGACAAACACTTGTTTTACATCTCCCCCAAATGCCCCATTTGTTCATTCAATTTCATTTTCTCAATCAGGCAACCATTTGCAAAGAGACATTCCTTTATTCATTTTATGAGGGGCATGAGAGACACAAGTGCTGAGTTTGGTTCACAAAAGAGCATCCAATTGATTCATGAATGTGTTTAATGGCTTCATTTTGAAACTGGGGCAGTTGCCCATCATTGACTTTGTCTTTCTGACCTTGTTTTTAATTTCAACCCTCTGGATTCGAACAATGTACCTGTGCAGATGTTGCGTCGTATGTCTGAGGATACTCACTGATTATTTCTGTCCTAAAACTGGTGCTTTATTTATTGTCTGGAAGTAAATTTCTTTTGAATTTTAATATGAACTTGCTAGTGATTTGTTTTTGATTGTGTTAAAATTAATTGAGATTGCTGTGCACTAGAGTAAAGACTACTTGACCTTTGTCATGAAGGAAACATGATCAGTGCCTCACATGTGTGTGATGCTGCTATTTTTTCACCTGAATTATTTTCCACATTATTCCGATGATAAAAATTGGACAGAGAAGTAAAATGGTCTGTAGAAGTTGTTAGAATTATTAATTGCCAGTATCCACAGTGTAACTAAAATGTTTGTAAAAATGGAGGTTTCCATCTATATCAGATTATTGGGCCATCAACTCATTTCCTTTGATCAAAGGATTAATCCTGACCCTTGACCTTACCACTGACTGGAGGGCCATTGCCATTTTGGACACAGCAAGGAGCTAATGCACATACCAACCTTGTTTTTATGCAGAATTCTGGATTGGGTTCCAAGCCTGCATTGTGTGCCCCTGCTGGATGGCTACAAACTCAGCATGGTACCATACCATTTCCTGCTGGGTGGGAACTAAACCATCATTGGCCCACTGCATGTATGCAAAGGGTCTGCCCATAGCAATTTCAGTAAGGAAATGACCATTTTTTGAGAGGAACCGATTGGAAGTGCTGTACATGAATTAACATGTAATGGTGCTGCCGTGAATATTATATTTTGCATCCAAGAACAAAATCCTAATAAATGTACAAACCATTTGCGTATTTGTACACACAAGGATCTTTGAAACTTGTGAAATTATTTCATATTCCTACTTTGTAGGGTTTGCTCTCCACCCCAAGCCTTACCTTCTATCCCAGAAAAAAATTGAAATTATTTAACCAAGTACATGTACCTGCACCTTCCAAGTTTGAATTGTACAGTGGCTTTACTGCTAATCATTTTGAAAAGTGTAATTGATTTTTGTAGTATTTGAAAGTGCAGTGTGTTACAGATTTTATTAAGATGTACAATTGATACTCTAATAAAAAAAGCCCAGGCAAGATAAGTTAAAGACATTTTCTATTGATTTTTATTCTGATCATTGATTTACATGTAGTAAACATACACGTATACATGTACTCTGAAATCAAGGTACTGTACATTTTAGATGTACTCTGAAATCAAGGTACATTTTAGATGTACTTTGAAATCAAGGTACATTTTAGATGTACTCTGAAATCAAGGTACATTTACTTTGACATCAAGGTACATTTGTACGTATGACTTAATAAGATGAGAGGTTTATTTTTCAAACTCTCTCTCTTTGCTGTAGTTATATGAACATTTTAGTTATTGTCCATAATTCTCATTTCTACATTGTGGACTGGCTTTAAAATTCCCTGATACCCACAGTATAATAAATTTACCTTTAAATAGCAGCATGGGCAGACTGTATTATCTTAATCATTCACATTGACGAAGGACAAAAGCCTTGCTTGTGAGTCCGCCTCCCTGCTATTCAGGTATTTCTTAGATTTACCATAAAACACGATGCTTTGTGTGCCCATTCACATCAACCTGAAAGGCCCCCATTGTGTGATTGTCACCTAATCTCTTAGCTAGTATTGTCCCATCTTCCGTAATGCTGCCGCTAATACTTTTTCACCAAGGCTTCAATATTAATAACAATTTCCGCTGTCCATTCTTTTCGGGGCAGCTTCCCCTTTAGAATTTGAAATGTCACCCCATTGGATGCACACAAACTCTGAGGCGGTCATTGTTAGGTGAATCAATGGTTGGAAGAATGAGGGACCGATTGAATGATGCATTCGCTGAATAGGAGGAAAGTACAATTCCATGGATGGTGTTGTATGAAGCCCTTCAAGGGGATAGTGTCCGCCATTCACTAAACCATCCATCACCCATGGGGATAAGGGTCCACTACCAAGAAAGAAAAATGAAACATTAATCAGGAAGGCTGTCCCGCTGGCTCTTACAGGAAGTCCCTCTGAAATGAAGTGCAGGAACATGCAAAAGAGAGCCTAAATCTGGCAAGGGTATGATACTGAAACTGATATCATTGAGTTCAGAAGACGCACTTATCAAGCTGAGTCAAGATGTTGTGTCATTGGATTTGACTTTTTTTTTCCATCAAGAAACCAATGGTTAGTTTTCTTCTCTCCAAAATACTAAATGGAATTAGGGAACCCAGACCTAATTAGATCAGTGATTTTTTCCCCCTCTTGTCCCCATCCAGCAGTGAGAATTCACGAGCCTGGTCCTGGGTAAATTGCAGCACAATATGCCCCACCCAGTAGCCTCGGGGCCACTCACCACGTCATTTGTTATTTGATGCGGTGTGGCTGCGAGCCACTGATCCCATCATCCAGATTAATAGAAATTTATCAAGGAGTCGTCCGTGGCCAAGAGGCCCTGGTCCCTGAAAATTGATTTAAAGCAATTTGACGGTTGATGAAATCAGATACTAGGCTGTCTTTATCGTCCAAACGTCAATAATACACAACAAATAACGGCAGCACAATCAAATTCTGTAAGCCTTATTTGCCATCTTCCAAACCAGATTAATCTCATTTAGATAGGCAGTGAATGGTGCTCTAATGCGCTCTTTCCCATTGCTTCTACAAGGTCCCCCATGATTTTTCTCCATTTTTGTTGACATTGATTCGAAGGGTGGAGGAACAGCCCAAAACCCGGGACTTTAGATTAGTGTGAGACACTCGGATTCGTTCCCCTCTAACTTATTGAATTTGCTCATCAGATGATGTTATTGCCACTCCTTATTGGTGTGCAGACTCAAACTCCTGGGATTTCAAGCTGTCTCCTGCAACAAAAATTGGAAACAGTGCGAGGCAGACTTCACAGCACTGAGTCCTGCAAAGTGAGCCGTCACCTCCAGTAACAAGTCGGTGACACTATACAGTATTCCCAGGTGCCCTTGCCAAATAATTCACCTGTAAAGTGCTTTCCAGTATGCTGTTTGCAATATCTTGAGGGATCTGGCGGCCAGTGAAATCATTTATTGTGTAACTTTTAGTTGCTTTTTCTGAAAGAGACTTTTTTGGAGAGTTTGGGTCCGAAAGAAATTTCTGTTTTTTACTTAATTTCCCCTGTGTCCCTCCCAGATAGGTCTGATCCAGAACAATTTTCTTTTTCTTGTTATCAGTTCATTTCTACAGGCATTTTGCTCGACTCCACCCATTTCATAATCAGCACAGTCCAGTACTAGAACCTTTTAATGAATCCTTTTGGACAGAAATTTGTGTTTTTTTTTCTGTGTTATTTTCTGCACCCTTCATGCTATAGTTTGTGACCTGTACATGTGCAGTACCTTACACCTCAGGACATTAAATCCATCTTCTCTAAGCAAGGAGCAGTATTTTTGTCATACCTGAAGAACCTTTCGTGTGTTCAGTAAACTTGTATAATTCCATAGGCATGCACACTATGTGTGTATGTTCGCATAGGCCTTCCCCCGTCAATTTCATTTGTAAGGAAAGTGTGGAGTGAGCTATGGCGATGTCAATTTGTTCCTATAACATTTATGTAGTAATGTGTGCAGTCCCCCATTGTGTGCTTTTGCATGTGCAAGTAACAGGTGCAAATTTACACCGAAGGACCCTGATTACTCACACATTGAGATCAGAAACGTGGTAAGAAATAGGATTGGAAACAACTTGGATTAAAAGTGAATATGGGACCCGTGTTACTTAGAGTGTGTGATATTTGAATCAGTGTATGTCTGAACTAGAACTTCATTGGCTTCGAGTAGGTCAGGGGGATATTTTGTGTGAAAAAAGTTTACTTCCAAGTGCAGTAATTGAATTTCCAATCATTAAAATGATGTACTGTACAACAATTATTTTCATACTGTTGCATCTTCATTACCAGTTTTTAAAGACCACTTTCATTTAATTCATGGGTCTTAAACCACTTTCTGACCCTTGTTAACAAGAAGCAATACTGCAGAACTTTATTTTCTATGCTTGTGCTGGAAGCACATCTGCAGTGTCAATTACATTTCAGAAGTTGATGACGTTGTATGTGCATCCTATTCCCATACTTGGTATGACATGGATAAATACTTAAATGTCGAGGCCTTTCTTGTCCAATGATGATGAGCTGAAAGAGAAACTTCTTTGTACTTGCACTTGGCATATTGTGGGACCCTTTCTGCAACTTGCCTTCCTAGTTTCACCTGCCCTCCATGGCATAGTGCAACCACATGGTCTTCCAATAGGACCCTATTGAGTAAGCTGATCGCAAGGACAGACAAATCAACCAATCAGCCAACTTCCTTTGGCGTTATTTATTTTTTCAAGTTGTCACTGACACTTTGCCCCCTGTCCTTTTCTTCGCTTGGCTTCTGGAAAACTTTGCGATATTTCCAGGAGGGTACGTGTCTGTGGGGTAACGTCAGCGTGACGGGTTTTGTTGTTTGGAGGCCATTGGTTCCTTCAGCATCTGTGGAACCGCTTCGTTGGGGTTTGCAATGGCTCTGCTTAATTGGATGTTGAACGCCGGCCGCTTGGATCATAATCATCAAAAAAGGTTGAGGGAATGAGTACATAAAAAGGTACTTGTATGGCTGCCAACTCGTTAACCAAGTCTTCGGGGACACATCGTCCACAAGCCATCTGCGTATTTTGTCAATATGGCAAGTCCTTTTTGGCTTTGTTTACTTGACAAGTTAAGGCTAGATTTAATTAATTTAGTTTATGGTTAAACCTGTTTGGTTGATGCAGCATTTGCTTGTACCAAGTTGAGAAAGAACCAGTTAAGTATAAAACCAAACTTACCTGTGTTTGAATAATAGTGGTGTGAGAGAAGATTTTTGGTTTCAAGTGCATGGTGCTGGTAAGTTTGGTATTGCTGCTCATCTCCATCTGCATTTGTTAAGGGGGATGAATCACATGAACGAGGCTGCTCTGCATTAAGAAAATGTTGAAAGAAATATCAATTGGTTATGCTGAACAAACTTTGAGGATACTATCATGTATATGAATTTCTTGTGTTTTGGTATTTTTGGTTTTGGTATTTGTTTTGGCCAAGGTCACAGGATATGTGCACCAGACATGCCAAATAATGATCTTCATGTTGCATTTAAACCATAAGTGTTTCTGAAGAAAGAGTTTCAAAAGATGAATAATGGGTACGTGTACATGTACATATCACAAGAAGATTCTTTATGAAAAGAACAGATTCTGTAATTCTGCTGAAATGAAGGGAAATGGAACTACCCTGCCTGACAGTAAACTTGCACTTTTGTGGGGCTTTATCTCATTTTTTACGGTGACATTGGAATCGGTCATTTTGTAATGGAATGGACTCATACATGTACAGTGTAAGTTGGGGACACATTTTGAGTGCAGTTGCATACATGTACATGTACTGGTAGGGAAGGGGCACATTTCTCAAGGACATGAATTTTTGGAGTAGATCAAGTGAATGTAATCCCTCTAATACTAAGCCAGTCAACCTTTGGAGAGGAACTTGCAGCTGATTCCCATTGTTAGTCATAGTCATGTACCTGTACACATCACAAAGCTTACCTTATACTTGCCCCCTTTGTTTCCATGAAGTGTCCATAAAGATGGTGTTGACATTTCCTTTTTATAATGGTACTTTT